TCCACTTCCCATCCAGCTCCCTGCTTGTGGCTTGGGAAAGCAGTTGAGGACGGCCCAAAGCATTGGGACCCTGCACCCTCGTGGGAGACCTGGAGAAAGTTCCTGGCTCCTGGCTTCAGATCAGCACAGCACCGGCCGTCGCAGTCACTTGGGGAGTGAATCATCGGACGGAAGATCTTCCTCTCTGTCTCTCCTCCTCTCAGTATATCTGACTTTGTAATAAAAATAAAATAAATCTTTAAAAATAAATAAATCCTTTCTTAAAAAAAATTTGAGCGGGCACAAATTTTTTTTTAAATATACACGATCTTTTCATAATACATTTTTCTATGAGCTTTTGGGTGATATACTTTGGTTTACTATAGCACAGGGATATCAATTACAGACAAACTGCACCAAGCCAAGCATATGTTGACAGGACACTTAATTTACAACAACCAAACTCTAATAAGGCAGCTTATAATTCACAGTAAGTCAACACAACAAAATGTTACTCAGATGCTTAAAAGAGATGACACACCTATCTAAACGTAGGGGAAAATCTTGAGGATCAGTTACTAGCTAAAAAAAATGTAAGCAGGAGGACACTAGGATAAAATACACCTAGTGGAGAAAATAAGGAAAATACACACAGATTGTTCAGATTCTCTGTATGGACACGTATGAAACAGTAGCTACAGCTGGGCACTTGAATTAATGGGTAAGATTTGAAGCAAACAGTTTCACTTTTTATTTTATAACCTTTTGAATTTTTACCATGTGCATGCAACTTTTATAAGAACTTTTACAATACAATGAAATACATGAATTGGCACACAGTGAGTGTTTAAGAAGTGTTACGTGAGTGAATAACTGCTAACTAGAGAGGGTTCATCAAACGGGCAGATGGGAACAAATGCCAGTTGTAAGGGAATCGCAGAGTAACAAGGCTAAAAAGTGGACCCAGCCAAGATAATGATGTCAGAAGCACTACACACTGTAGGATGAATCTTCAATATCCTTTCCTCCAAAGTTTAGGATCAGGTTTCCTAAAGTGTCTAAACTCGCACATGACAACGCCCTATCTCTCTATCAAATGACTGGCTCAGGAGTTTCCAGTCCCAAGTCAAAGATCTGGGAAAGCTATAGAAAATCTAAAAATGCAACAGGGGATGGATAAGAGATTAATGTAAGCATTGTGTGCAATCAACAAACTTCTGTGACTGCCAACATCACTACCCAAGTGGCAGCTGGGGGAAAGACACAGATGGCAATGCATTCTCATTATCAAGGCAGGAGGCTGAGAACAAGCAGCATTAGGACACTATCAGGCACCAGTGAAATCCCTGATTTGAGGCTAGATACACAGAACCCAATAGAATGAGCAAATCAGCGATATGTCCATGTGTTAAAGAGAATGAAAGGACTGCCCAGAATGATGAGAGAAATACCACATAAACCAAAACAAAAGTCATAGTGGTGGGGGATGGCCACACCAGAGTGTGTCAAACCTCAGCAGCAAAACAAGTCGTGGTTGACGAGACCATTCCAAGAACAATGAGAGCCAATGCTCACTAGGCCAACACCACTTGTTACAACCATGGGCTCAGTGCTCTTCATTTCAACTCTGTTGTGGCAAAGTTAGAGAAAGTGATAGAATCAGATGATCAAAAGAGAAGTATTAAAGGAATAAAGGTGGTAATATTTAAACTCTTTTCTTGAGTTAAGGAGCTGTAGTGAGGTTCCTGTTCCATAGTCACTTCTTAGATGAAACAGCTTGAGGTAACAATTTCCATACCTGTTAAATTCTAGCAACAAGAATAACCACTTTCAGAAAGTACTGTCAAGGTTACTTGAGATAACACATATCAACTGTTCAAAAAAAGTGCCTGTCTCAGGACCATCAACAAAGAATAGCTAGTTTTTAGATTCTTAAACTTTTATTGGAGTCACATTTACAAAGAGAAGAAAGGACAGAAAGATCTTCCATCCACTGGTTCACTCCCCAAGTGGCCACAACAGCCAGAGCCGAGCTGATCCGAAACCAGGAGCTTCTTACAGGTCTCCCATGTGAGTGCAGGGTCCCAAGGCTTTGGGCCATCCTCTGCTGCTTTCCCCAGGGAGGTGGATGGGAAGTGAAGCAGCTGGAACATGAACTGGCACAAGTATGGGATCCCAGTGTGTACAAGGTGAGGATTTAGCCATTAGGCCATCGTGCCAGGCCCTAGACTAGCTACTTATACTGATCACAGTAAATCAGTAACACTCCAGGACAAGTCCTATGCCAACTGCCCCCCTTTGCCTGGTAGGTTATAAGAACGACTCAGTCAGTCAGAAGGCATGAATGCCTATAGCAGATGCCCTGTTATCTGGGAAGACAGCTTTTAGTTGAAGAGAGGCATTGGCAATGTGTGGCCAGCACAGAATCTGATCCCACAGGAGCAGAAATACAATGTAAGGAATCACTATTACTCTAAAATCTTTGAAACCTAAAGTATACATCTTCCTTTAAGAAAAGTCCTTATAGTAGTATGTGGAAATAGAGTTGGAACAGATACAATCAAGCTGGAAGAAATTGGTCAACACAACACACAGGTAATACCAGTTGATGGGTAGACAAGCTAGAGAACACAGCAACATTAGTTCCTGAATGTACAAAGTTTGGTTTGCAGATAGGGTCAGGTTTTAGGAACCTGAAATACTGCCAAAAATCAAAGTTTCAAAGAGCAAATATTGGTAGTAATACATTTCCAAAGCTTTTCCTAATCCAAGTATGTTCAGGAGAAAATTGGAAAGTCTGATAAAGCACAAAATCATAAAACATTAACCTCACTACACAAAAATGAGCGGTTAGCACTGTGCACAGGTCCTCCGGCCTCCGAATGCATTTTCCCATTACACCATGAGATCACGTCCTCCTGACAGCGTTACCTTAAGCACGGTGCTTTAAACGCTGAGTTACTAAGCTAAGGTACTGACTTATACAACAAAGACCTTTATGGTTTAGGTCAAGTTACTGTAATTATCAATATTCTCTTTATGTAATTTCCTAAATTTAAGATCAATCGTTAGTCCCAGAAACATATACATCTTTTTAGAACTTCATGCACGACCCTAGAAACCAGAAACTGGTTAAAAAATACGCCAATATACATTTGACTACACTACAAGTTACGCTGCTTTGAAAGGAGATTTCATACATATAAAAGGGCCAATACTTTTAAAATCTGTACCTATTTCCATATTTGGTGCTGGTTAATTTTTTCATTCTACTCTTGTCAGGTGACCACTTTAACAGGACTTGAAACAAACTTCCTTTCACAACAATTGCAGCTGGCTTAAATCTATTATCTCTTTTATCTAAAACTAATTACATTTTAACATTAAAAACTGCGTGGAGTGATCAAATAGTAACATACATACAATTTAGTATTTCTTGCTTTTCTATTTCCTTTTCGATGTTTCAAGTCTTGAAACTATGATATGCTGCTGCTGACCGACAACCTTCAAGTCTCATTTTTAAAAAATAAATTATCTACATCCTTATATAACCACCACAAGATATAACAGAAACAATTACCTCACAAGCCTCAGAACACTAAGCAATGTTGCTTTTTCAATGGGGTTCTTTTTCTCGGGGGTGGGGGGGGGCTAACCTCCAAACTCCCAGGTGGATTTTTTTTTTTTTTGCTATTCATTAAAATTCCAACATCGAAAAAGTGAACACAAACATGAAAAACAACCTCACAGAGAAAAAAAAAATTGTTCCAGTGTTTGAAACACTTTATCACCGAGGAGCTAATCTCACATTTATCCTAAATCTCCACTCTTACAACATCTTTGGAAGAAAGCACTCAAACAGCGAGGTCCTCTGCCAGACACCTGGAGGAGGGGTGGGAGGGAGGCGGTCCCAGTCCAGAGGGGCAAGGGTCAGCCTCGGGAACAGAGCCCTCCAGCTGACTCTCCACCTGCTGCGACCGGGCCCGCAGCACACAGCCCTTCTGGGGCAAATCCACACCACTTCCACCTTCACTAGCGCACCTTGAGAGGAAATTCACAGAGAATTTTAAGTGTCTCCAAAGTGGGAGGCATTTTTTTTTCAAACTCGAAGAGTTGGCCAGTCCGTGGAGTGTGTATCTTTGTACTGTGATTAAGGATTAGCTATCCGTTTGCCTGCAACGCGTGTTACCTGCTCTTCTCAACAGGTCTGACTGTGGAGAACTCAATTCCCAACCGGTTATTTTTTTTTTTAATTTTAGTATTTTTAGAACAAGAAAGAATCAGAACTATATTCTAGACCCTGTTGGGGCTATCCTAATTGCTTTTCAAGTTTCTCCCGTGGGGAGAAAAAAAATAGCTGGTTTCGATCTTGGGAGTGGAGGGTCCTAAATTGTAAGAAGGTGTGCAGCGCACAGACGCAGGGCTGGCACAATCCTGAGGCCGGTAAGCGTGCCCTGCTGGACAATTTGGCAGATCCACACTTTCCAGGGGCGGGAAGGCCCGTCTGGTCTCCCCAGGCTGACGCTAAACTTGCCGATGAGATGCCTTAGGGCCCCGCGTGGCACAGGCACCGCGGCGTGCGCCGTCCCACCCTGTCCGGGGAGTTCACCCCAAAGTCAGGCCCCGCAGGCTGAGCGTCCAGTCTGGGAGGGCCAGGGTCACCCCTCAAGCCGGGCCCTTCAAACGTCCTCGGAGCCTTTAACTAAAAAAAAGGAGGGGGCGCCGCGGACCTGGACCTAACTACTCTTTTCTTTACCCCCACGACCTCCCCCGGCCCTTCCCGAAGACCCGCAAAAGGGCGCCGACCCCTGTCCACCTGGTCGGGAGACGTGGGGGAAAGGCAGGACGTGAGGTAACTAGCAGTGGCCGCAGAAGCGGGACAGGCCTTCGGGACCCGCCCCAGTGTGGGTTTTGAACACCCCAACCCAACCGCAGCACGCGACCCGTGAACAGACCTCCCCGGGCTGTCCGGCGGCCGGAACAGGGCCGGAGGAGACGCGAGGAGGCAGGCAAGTCCTTACCCGCTGCAAGGCTGGCAGCTGCTGGCCGCGGCCGCTGGCTCCAGCACCGCAGGCCGGAGGCCGCCCCTCGGAGCCGTAAGGAGGCTGCCATGCTGCCCCCCAGCCCCGCCTCCCGCGGTCACCACGGCCTCCTCCCGGAGGGACCCGCTGACAGACTGCGAGGGAGCGCCGCGGCGGCACCGGCGGACGCGGCCACAGCGTGGGGCCGCGCGCACGCGCTCTCGCTTCTCCCGGAGGCGAGTGAGGCCAGGCGGGACAGGGCCCGTCATTCCCCTTAACGGACACACATGCTAGCCAATCAGAATTCGCAAATGCTCTGCGGATTTGAGTCACGCCAATAGGAGCCGCGTTGGTCCCACCCCCTAGTTTCCACTTCGTTGACTGTGGGCGGGAGCGTCCTTGTTTACGAAGAGGAGGAGGGTGTGTGGGAGGCGGTGGCTGTCGCTCACTCCAAGAGCACCTGCTTCTCCAGACCCGCCCCCTGTCTGTGGTTCTCGAACCCCAAGGAACACAGCCAACTGAAGCAAATGTTCAGCAAAGCGCTGGACTGCCCGGGATAGGGGCACATTTTTACCTTCAATGATACACAAATCTCGTAAAGTTAGCATTTGTATCTTTAGTATATGCTCTTTAGAAAATGATCACAGAAGTCTACCAAGAGCTTTTCATGACATTTGATTGTATCTGCCAAACTACTTTCCCAGCAAATGTAAAAAAAAAAAAAAAAAAAAAAATAGAAAAGAATGTTCTCTGAACAGTATCGGAGTACACTTAAGTAACAGACTTTACACTTTTTCTTCCAAAACATTTTTCTCTATTTTGAAAACGCTTACATTCTGCATTCCATGTTGTCAGCAAAAACCAGCGGTAAGGCAAATTCACAAAAGTTGTTTATAGGTATTCACGTCTGTTAGACATTATTCATTCTTCCGTGCCCGCTGAAACCCCTTCAGATAGCTGCAGGTGCCTCCTCTTGCACCAACAAAGGACACCAAGAGCACTCCACTGCAAAACAGGCAACTTCTGGAGGAAGGCGGCACAAGAGGAAGAGACAGTGAGTAGCTGGGATCACGGGGTGCCCACCACCCAGCCCCAGACCCATTACACCTGCTCGTTTGCTCAGCGGGGGACTCGCCCAGCCTTTTAATGTAAGCAGCAGAATCAACAGATGTGACTTTGACCTTGTGTTCAGTTTCTCCTCCCAGTCACCCATGCAGTTGGAAGCAACTAAAGGGAAACCAAACATACCGGGTAGTTTCCAAGCAGGCTCTCCTGACGCTGTGCGTGCCAGCAGTGCTTCCAGGAACTGGTACAGAGTGCAAGGTCACCATCTGGAACTGGCAGTAAAAGAATTCCCCTTTTTGGCGGTCTCTCTGCCTTAACCCTTTACTCCATACCCACCTACATAAAGCCGAGAAAGTGGAGAAGGAAAACAGCAAAGACTAATTTCACGTGTTGTACAGTTTCCTGGAATTGAAACCTGGCTGCTGGACAACCCTTGGTTTCTGGAGCATTCCCTACCTGTCTACAACCCATAAATGCAACCCAGCATGTTTCCGTAATTAGCTGCTGACGGGCCCCAGGCTTCCCAACTATGTCAGCCTTATTGTGCGGTGGAGCTTTTTAGGGTGCAGGACAGGGCATCAGTGATCTCCCAGGCTCACAGAGTGTGTATCTAAAATCAGATTGCTGTTGTTATTTTTACACTGAACTGCTGTTTCTTTTGTTTCTGTGGGTTGTGTATGGCACTCTTCCCCTGCAATGGAACATTTCTTTGCAAAAGGCTGACTCCCATAAATACCATGTCCTGAGACTAGGATAGAAAGGAAGCAGGGGGCCTGGTACGATAGCCTAGCAGCTAAAGTCCTTGCCTTGAACGCACAGGGATTCCATATAGGTGCCAGTTCTAATCCCAGCCACTCCACTTCCCATCCAGCTCCCTGCTTATGGCCTGGGAAGGCAGTCAAGGGTGGCCCAAAGTCTTGGAACTCTGTACCTGTGAAGGAGACCTGGAGGAGGCTCTGTGCTCCCTTCTTTGGATTGGTTCAGCTCTGGCCATTGTGGCCACTTGGGGAGTGAATCACTGGATGGAAGATCTTTTCCTCTGTCTCTCCTCCTCTCTGTATATCTCACTTTCCAATAAAAAATAAAATAAATCATTAAAAGAAAAAAAAAGAAAGGAAGGAAGCAGGAGGACTCATGCCGGTTGGAAGGTCTTCTTCGTTTGCTTTTGTTTTATTGTGTTGTGCCTTGGGCCCTCTGTGAGGTGGTGGTGGTTTCTCTCAGCTCAACTGGAAGCAAAAGATGAGTCATCATCAGAGGGAAGCTGGTTCTTGCTTCCCTTATAATCTGGTTCATGTTGATGTACTTGAGAATGTAATAGAAGGTGATTCAAGGGCTTGAGCCCCTTGGGAGACTTCAGTGGAGTTCCAGATTCCTAGCTTCTGCCACTGTGGCCATTTGAGGAATCAACCAGTGATGAAAGATCTCTCTCTCCCCTCTCTCTCTCTCTCTCTCTCCTTTTTCTTACATAAATAAATCTTTTTTTAAAAAAATGATGAAAGATGGAAATCAGTCATACCAGTTGGGAGCTTCAGTACCCAAAAAGGAACACAGTGGGGCCCGGCGCGGTGGCGCAAGTGGTTAAAGTCCTTGCCTTGCACGCCCGGGATCCCATATGGGCGCCGGTTCTATCCCGGCAGCCCCGCTTCCCATCCAGCTCCCTGCCTGTGGCCTGGGAAAGCAGTCGAGGACGGCCCAAAGCTTTGGGACCCTGCACCCACATGGGAGACCCAGAAGAGGCTCCTGGCTTCGGATCGGCATAGCATCGGCTGTTGCACTCACTTGGGGAGTGAATCATCGGACGGAAGATCTTCCTCTCTGTCTCTCCTCTCTGTATATCCGCCTTTCCAATAAAAAAATAATAAAAATAAATCTTAAAAAAAAAAAAAAAAGGAACACAGTGGCCAGTCCTGGGTTTTCACTGAAACTTTTATATCCCACACTGGGTGCTAGAAAAGCTGAAAACCGGAACCCTGGAAATGCTGAGAGGAGCGGACCAAAAAAGTTTCAATTATATAGTCTGCTCTCTAGCCAAAGGTGGAAAGAAAGACAGCATAGAAAGACAGAAAACATGTAGAATATGGCACATTATTATTAACAAAGCAACTCTCTCTTTTTCGAACACACACACACACGCACACATTACAGCTCCCATACTCGCAAAGGTTGAGTGGAGGGCTTAGACTTGCAGCCTCTTCAAGCCACAATGAGACACCCAGCATCCTAATATTTGAACCACCACAGTGGTGTCCTATAAGCCAAGTTGTAGAGCTGGGACTTTGATCCTAACACCACGCGGTAACAGGTATCCATGGTGTCAGCAAAACAGCCACCAAGACATCAATACAGAATGCAGGAGAGACAAGGATCATCCTTTTTTTTTTTTTTAAAGATTTATTTATTTTTATTGAAAAAAACAAATTTACAGAGAGAAGGAGAGACAGAAAAATCTTCCATCTGCTGATTTACTTCCCAAGGGGCCACCAATGGCCAAAGCTGAGCCAATCCAAAGCAAGGAGTCAAAAGTTTCTTCCTGGTCTTCCACGCAGGCGCAGGGCCCCAAGGCTTTGGGCCATCCTCCACTGCTTTCCCAGGCCACAAGCAGGGAGCTGGATGGAAAGTGGAGCTGCCAGGATATGAACCAGTGTCCTTATGAGTTCCCAGTGCATGCAAGGTGAGGACTTTAGCCACTAGCTTACCCTGCGGGGTCCAAATGCAAGGGTCATCTTAACCTGCTGGGCCACAACCCACCAGCCTCTAATAGAAGGTCTAAATACACAGCTGGCTAACTGTGACAATGGCATTCCCTAAGAACAGCAGTTCTAGGTTTGGCTATGCTGATTCTGCACCTGCTGCCTGCTAATGTACCCAGGAAAGAAGTAGATGGCCCAACCACCTGCATGATAGATCTGAATGGAGTCACAAGTTCCTGGCTTTGACCTGTCCCAGCCTTAGCTAGTGCAATCATTTAGGCAGGAAATCAGCAGATGAAACATGGAAGATTGCCTATCTCTCTCTCTCTTTTCTTTAACTCAACCTTTCAAATAGATAAGAACTTTTTTTAAAGGAATAATATCCCGAGTGTCATGATATCTGAACATCCAGATTTCAGTAAAAAAAATCACACATAATACTAAAACCAGGAATGGAAAAGTCACCTTCAACACCAAAATGATTAACAGTTTAAAATTACCTGTATTTGAGAGCAGCCATCAGAAAATATTTCCATGGGCAATAAAAACATATTTAGACTATATAGATAAATAATTTCAGCAAGCAAGTAGAAGACAAAAGAAAGAAAAAATAGAAAATTTAAAACTGAAAATAGAGCGCGGTGGTGTGGCCTAGTGGCTAAAGTGCTTGCCTTGAATGCACCAGGATCCCATATGGGCGCCGGTTCTAATTCCAGCAGCTCCACTTCCCACCCAGCTCCCTGCTTGTGGCCTGGGAAAGCAGTGGAGGATGGCCCAAAGCCTTGGGACCCTGCACACTGCGTGGGAGACCCGGAAGAGGTTCCTGGCTCCTGGCTTCGGATCAGCACAGCACCGGCCATTGCAGTCACTTGGGGAGTGAATCATCGGATGGAAGATCTTCCTCTCTGTCTCTCCTCCTCTCTGTATATCTGCCTTTCAAATAAAAATAAATAAATCTTAAAAAAAACCCAAAACTAACCACCAATACTAACTTAAAAAAAAAACTGAAAATACAATGAGCAATATTTTAAAATTCAATGAATGCGTTCAGCGGCTTGAATGAGGAAAGAATCTGTGAAGTGGAAGATGGAATGGTAGAAATCACGTAACCCAACAGCAAAGAGAAAACAGACTGCGATTAAAGACCAGACAAAAGATAGTAGAGGGAATCGTGGCACGACCTCCACAATAGAAGCAGCATTCCAGTTCTCAGAATCCCAGAAGGCGGGCATGCGTCACAGAATAGTGGATTTCCCTTGGGGCACTGACATACGATCTCAGAGAGCCTAAAGCTTCCTCTTCCTCATCGAGTACCTGCTAATGTACATCCTAAGAGCCAAACACAATGGCTCAACTACTGGGGTTCCTGCCACCCATGTGGAAAGCCTGGGTGAGCTTTTTTTACAGAAGGAGGGAGAGAGAAAGAGCATACGCAA